ATGAGAATTAGGTTGAGAAGTGTTAGGATTAGAGGATATTTCAATAGTTGTTAGCTGAGGAGGATCTTGTGGGAATATGTCATCTAGGTCTGAAGTCATTCCTTTGAAAGAGAATACTTGTTCTATGAATGTAACATCCCTGCTCACTATAAAGGTCCTATTTTTCAAATCATATAACCTGTAACCCTTTTGAGTTTCTGAATATCCTATTAGTACAGCTCTCCTAGCTCTTGGAGCAAATTTATCTCCTCTAGGCAGAATGCTTACAAAGCACATACATCCAAAAACTTTTAGATGCTCAATCTTAGATGGTTTCTTATAAAGAACTTCATAAGATGATTTCCCTGATAGAACAAAAGTTGGCCATTTGTTTATCAACTAAACTGATGTTTAACACATTCACCCCAGAATCTGTTTGGCAAGGAGCTTTGAAACTTTAATGCTCTAGCTACTTCCAGTATATGCCTGTATTTTCTTTTCACCACCCTATTTTATTGAGGTGTATATGGGAAGCTACTTTGATGCACAATTCCTAATGAAGTCAATAACTCATTACATTTTGAATTAAAGAATTTAGTTCCATTATCTGATCTCAATTTTCTGACATTCAAACCAAATTGATTTTGCACCATGGTAAAGAAATCTTTCAATACAACTACTACTTCACACTTTGACTGTAACAAATATACCCAAGTATACCTACTAAAATCATCAACCAGTGTTACAAAGTAGTATTTTCTGTCATATGTTGGTATCATGCGAGGACCCCAAACATCTACATGCACAAGTTAAAAGATCTGATCTATTTTACTACTACTAGGTTGAAAAGGAAGTCTATTTTTCTTAGCCAAATGACATACTTCACAACTATGTTGTAATTTGGTATCTATCTTATTCTTTAATAGAGGAATATGTTGCATTGCAATAGTTGAAGGATGGCCTAGTCTGATATGCCACAGTGCTGAATCTTCCTACACTTGCACAATATTTTCTGCTATAGCTGGAAATTCCTTATTGAGATCCTTCTTCAGCAGATACAAACCATTGTGTTCTTTATCAATCCCCAAAACCTTTCCACTGTAGAGACCCTGAAACACACAGAAATCAAGGAAAAAAGCAGCACAACATGGCAACTCCCTAGTCAGTTTAGAAACCGACATTAGATTAAATTTAAAGTCAGGGACATGTAGTACATCTCTCAGTGTCAAATCCTCTAATATCTTCACACTTCATGTATGTGCTACATGACATTTACCTCCTGTAGGTACTTTCACACCATTGTTATTCTAGTTTTCAATCTTTCTTACAGTGTCTAACATTTCTTTATAAGGTGTAACATGATGTGAAGCACCTGTATCTATTATCCAATCATAGTTAAATGCCTTGGACAATAATGAAGTTGTACCTGCCATTAAAGTATGGCAGTCACCTGGATCAGGATCGGGCTTGTTTATAAGTCTCAACAACTGTTTGTATTGATCTTCAGTGAAGAAATGCCCCTGTATCTGAGGAGTGGTTTCAGAACTCCCTCCTTCTCCTACTGATATGTTAGCATATCATTTCACACAAGTGTTTTGAGGCCTTTTATTGCTTTTAAAATCTGGTAGATAGCCTATAATCTTGTAACAATTCTCCTTCAAATGACCTTTGTAACCACAGTAATCACATATGAGACCTGGTTTCCTTGAAACCTTGTACTCTTCCAGCTAGCGTAGTTAAAGGCTCCTTGTCCGAATTAGCTACAGTAAGTGTTCATTGACTCTCTTCCTGAACTGCTAGTGCATACACTTGATTCACAATCAACACAAGTGTTTTTAGAAGAATCTCACTTCTCACATGAATGTAGCTTTCATTTAAATTAATAAGGAATTGCAGCAAGCATAAGTTTTTGAGCTGATCTAGAAAAGGTCTAGTTTCCTCACAATCACACCCTGCTCCTGGCACCATTAGATCCATTTCATCCCACAAATCCTTTATTTTAGTATAATAGGATGTTGTAGAGTCTGTACCTTTCCTTAGGGTTCCTATTGTTGTCCACAAGTGATAAAACCTAGTAAGGTTCGATTTGTTAAAATGTTCCTTAAATTCATTTCATACCTTCCTCGCATCTGATGCGTAGATGATGCTAGGCTACAATTTAGTAGATACAATGCGACCAATCCATGAAAGCACCACGGCGTTACATCGTTCCCATTGATGCCTTAATTCACCTCTATAAGAGCTTTTCAAACAGGTTCCATCGATGAACCCTAACTTGTTTTTCACCAACAACGCCATTCTCATCGATCTGCTCCATAGCGCATAGTTTTCAGGTCCTGTAAGCTTGATATCAATCAATGCTATTCCAGGAGTGTCGGTTTGTTGTAAAAACAGTGGGTGATTGTGATCAATTTACGAATTTCCAGTTTCCGCCATGGCAGACCAGCTCAAGCTTCAAAAATGGCCGTCAATTGGAATTTTGAAATCCTTAATCTGATCTCAAATCGCCCGCTCTGATACCATGATAAAATTTGAGTATAGATCTAGAAGAATTCATAGTTGCATGCGACTAAGAATGAATATTACAGAGAGAAGAAGATGAATGAAGAAGATCATTTTTCTGTTAGAGAGTAACTTCCTCTGTTAATACAGAGTGCTTGTTTTATACAACTCACACACACGAGTCACGTGTGTAAGAATGGATAAAAAGACTAAAGTACCCCTCACTAACCAACATAACTACCAATCGGCTAATATATCCAATACCCTACTTTAATACACAGAAACATTGATGATGGATTGCGTTAATGAGGTTCTAATAGAGGTAGGAATTCAATTTAGCTTGGTGGTGCATTAACTATTATTTGAGTTCCATTTGGCCTGTATTGTGGCTTGAGGGTGGTTATTTTAAATTTGTGCGATAGCGATAAAGCTAATGGAGGTTTTGAATGTCAAATAAGATAACGGGGCTGCCACCGAAAGATTGAACTCTTCCAAATTCAAGGACAAATTTAGACCATTTTGCATGGTTCAAGGGCTAATTTAACCCCTCCCCCCTTATAAAAAGGCCCACGTGTTGGACACGTGGCATCACAAGATGCTAAACATTCTTATTAGTGATTAGGGGTACACTGGTCGGGTTGGTTCGAATTTTTTAATTATCAAACCAAACCAAACCAATTGTGTCGGGCTATTAAATCTAAAGACCAAACCAAACCAATAAAAGTCGGTTTTTTTAATCTCATTTTTTCGGATTTTCGGGTTTTTTCGGTTTTTCTTTTCATATCCAGATATTTCTTTAATCCTAGTAAGACAGAACTATATAAGATATTTTTTAATAAAATAGCATGCATAAATATGAGATGAGTCATGTCATTATACTAAAATATTCAACAATAAGATAATAAAATCGCATAAAATAATTATTAATATGCCATAACGAAAACAACCATAATTTAAAATTATTAAGTTGCTAAAATATGTACGACTAATAAGTACTATTATTTACATGACTAAATACTAAAAGAAAAATAAGATGCATTTTATCTAAACCATGAAAAAACTAAAAAATATATATTCAACACTAATAACATTCATAATACAATTGAATTGAATGTCTTTTATTAGTATTAATATTGATTTAATTTTGGTTTAGGATTTATTTGAGTTACTAACATTTATGGAATATAAAACTTATTGGAGCATCCAAAAATTATACGTCCAAGATTGAAATAATACGTTAAAAGAATAAAACTATGAAAAAGCTTAAGAAATATTTATAAACTACACTACACAAATATTTTTATGTATTAAATTTATTTAAAATTTCTATACTTATAATGTCGGGTTGGTTTGGTCTCGGTTTGAATTTTTTTTAATTAAAACCAAACCAAATCAATTATTGTCGGGATTCTTTCCCCAACACCAAATCAAATCAAATCAAACCATAGCCGGGTTCTTTTTTCTTGGTTTGACTTGGATTTTCGGGTTGATACGGTTTGTCGGTTTCATTTGTACACCCCTACTAAGCTTTTGCCATCAATCAATAAAGGCAAATCAAGTCCAATTTTATAATTGCAAGGATAGATTGGATCCCAAATCTAAATAATCTCATATAGTTGAAATGTAAATTTGACCATTTTCCCTATATTCTTTATTCCAAATGAAAAATGCACAATTGCAAAATAGACCATTTTTGGGAAAACTCTAAGAAATCATGTTATCAAAGTTACTGACAAAAATTGAGTAGGCTCTTTCAAACTCAAGATTTCGGCTATGAATTAATTTCATTACATTCCCACACAAACCTTTCATAATTATCATTCATACATTTGCTTGCATCTTTCTAGAGTAACGATCAGATAATTGAATGGTATTCTTGAATTCCTCAAACTTTGACATTTATGCATATTTGATCTTTTTGAATGATATCATTCATCTTCTGAAGCACAATTAGCTAATTAATTACATCACGAAATAAAAATTAAGAATTTTCTCTTTAATTAGGACGTAGTAAATCATGAATCTAGCAGATTAAAAATTGTCTAAAACATGTTACTAGTGACATACTTCAGGAGTTAAAATTATTAGTTAGAAAAATAATGTTAGGAATTAGTGGCCAAAGAATGAGAAGCTCGACTTTTTTAAATTTAAGTGATAAAAAGGGTGACAAACTGAATAACTCGACAACATAGTGTCCAAAATTGAAAAGGAGAGCCCCAGCTCAAAGATATAAAATACGATTAATCTTGGAATAAGTGTTAAAAGGGACTATTAATAAAAACAATTCCTGCAGTAGTATTCAAACAATTGTTGAGCAATTAAATTGAAAATTGACCAAGACTTGAATACACACTTTCTTGAAAGTAGTATTCATTTTCACCAAGTCTTTCTATATGGCCACTCCGATAGTGAAGTGTTTGAATAGGCAATTAGCATTAATATCTTTTATAGACACTCAATTTCCTGGCACTTTCTCTTCCATTTCAAAACATGAATTGAATTTAACTACTTCACTTTCTCCCTTATAAAATGCCCATCTTACCCAATTAATCTTTTCATTCCTTTCATCCAAAAAACCAATCAACGAAGATAAAGAAGAAAGAAAACTTGGATTCAATGGATACAAGTTCTCGGGACAAGTCTTTTGCTATTGACCTTAACACAAACCCTTCACCGCAAAACGTCAATAGTATTCCGGTTGGTAGATCTATTCTTTCGTCAAAACAAATATTATTATTATTATTATTATTATTATTATTATTATTATTATTATTATTATTATTATTATTATTATTATTATTATTATTATTATTATTGTTATAAAAGTAATTTGATAAATGCAGCATGAGATGTTGGATGAAGAGTTGATCAGGATGAAAGAGGAGAATAAGAAGCTAACGACAACGTTAACAACTTTGTGTGAGAACTACAATTACTTGCAAACTCACCTAATTGAATTGCTGCAAAAACACAACTCTGAGGAGCAGAATTCCAAATTATTATCTAGAAAAAGAAAGGCTGAAGATGATCACTGTTGTGAAAATTCAGAAATCATAATTGAAGAAGCATCACCTAAGAAGCCAAGGGAAATCAGAACCAACGTTTCAACTGTTTGTGTAAAAACTACTCCCTCCGATCAAAGCGCAGTAAGTTCCAGAGATTTCTTAATTCTCAGTATGCTTAACAATTTTAAATATATTTTCAATCCTTAAAGAGATAAGCCTAAGATTGATCTAAAGGTTAAGGCACAATCAAGAATCAACAACCTATAAGTAAATCCACCACTGATATATATTAACGGGTACATAATTTCAATATATGAAAACGGTATAAATTGACTTTTTAATAAATGGTCTCAAAAGTTTGAACATGTTTAAATGAACTTCAAGTATAACTTTCTTCTTTGGTGTTGGTTTTCGAAATATAGTTCCTTTTTAAAAAATTTTCCTTGGCCTGATTTTCAGGTGGTGAAAGATGGATATCACTGGAGAAAATATGGTCAAAAAGTCACAAGAGATAATCCTTCACCTAGAGCCTACTATAAGTGTTCTTTTGCACCATCATGCCCAGTCAAGAAGAAGGTCAGTTCATGCAACCAATCTTCTTAATTTGACTAAATGCGTAAAAGAATATTATGTGTCTACTCTGGTGGTCAATCTTCATAGGTAAAAATTTATATGCACTCAGTGTTACAAATATTGATTTATGCGTAAAAGAAGACATTATATTTTCGATACAAACATTTATCATTTGACCATGTGAAATGTTTTATTATAAACTGTATTAAGATTAAATTGTATGGTTTAATATAAACTTGAGTGCATGTAAGTATGTACCCTATTCCTATATACTCACACCTAGACTAGAGAAATCATATAATATTAATGTATTAGTTTGTTTTTCCACTATATGAATGAAACTCAATTTGTAGGTGCAAAGAAGTGTTGAAGATCCATCAGTTTTAGTAGCTACATATGAGGGGGAGCACAACCATCCTCTCCCATCCCAAGCTCAAGTAACAGTCCCATTAATTAACCAAAATGTTACAACAAATCCTAGTTTTCTGAACAAATTCATGCAAGACATTGACACAACTTCGCTACAGCAAGTTTTAGTCGCACAAATGGCGTCTTCCTTGACCAAGAACCCTAGTTTCACAGCTGCAGTTGCTGCAGCCATCTCCGGAAAATTCTTTGAATATGATTAATTAGCTTTCAAATGAAGCAAAATTACAGTTACTCAAACGGTTTCTGTTTTTTCATTGAGATTGGTCATTGAAGTGAACCTAGTGTAAATTTACCATTTGGAAAGGATGTTTTCTTTGCTATAATAACTGTTTCTTAGCTGTGTTTTCCGAATATTTGGGCTGGTACTAAATAAAATTTATAGAATAGTAAAGACAATATTGGGAGTAGACGTTAGGATTGATTCATAAATATATACGCCATAATCGCATAAGATTACGTGACATTAAAAAACACAACAAAAAAAGTTTTGTTATATGGTACATGATTTTTAAATTTTTCTTGAATGATCTTTTGTCAATTTAATTATCTTGCAAGACTTATAAAAAGGAGGGGTTTCGTTCATGTTCCACTCCCAAATACAACTCTTTGCTGCCAAGGTATGGAGCAATACAAGTATATATAGGAATATAAAGGGGATTTATCCAAACAAAAAAGATAGGACGCTCGACTTCAAACTTCTGTTTACCCATAAAAAGCTACAGTTGAATTTGTAACGTGGTTTATAAATACATGAATTAAATTAATCTGATAAAATAAAGCAATGAAGAACAAAGCGAGTAAAATAAGGAGAATTGAAGAAAAGACAAGCCTTGGCTTCAAAATGTTCCCACTAGGATAAAAAATAATAGGAAATCTCAGCAACACTTGAATAAAACTTGAGAGAAAGAAAATTATCTTTTGCTATCAGTATTTCTTGATGTCTTACAATAAAATGAAAGCCTCTATTTATACTAGAGCTATGGGATGTACGATCTACAAATTATGCCTCATTAATTACCCATATTAATGCTATAATAAAAGATAATAAAAAGATGATAAAAAATAATAAAGGTTAATTAAGCATAATAAAGTCATTTTGAGCATTGGCACTTTCCTCGGTGGTTTCAGGGCATGAGTAACTCCGTATGATGTATTGTGACTTGTGTGAATCGTCGGTTTTGGTTTTCAGGTTATTCAGAATTGATTTGGAAGAATGAATTTCATGATTTGAAGTTTTAAAGCTGGAAGAGTTGACCAAGTTTGACTCTTTAGTATTTGACCTCAGATTGGAGATTTAATAATTCTGTTAGGTCCGGATGGTGATTTTGGACTCGGGAGTATGCTCGGATTTTATTTGGATATTTCTAGAATGTTTCGGCGCTAATTTGCGAAAATTGTGAATTTGAAGGTTTGGAAAGTTAATAAGTTTGACCGAGAGCTGACTTTGAGGATATTGGATTCGGATTATTGTTTCAGGAATTGTAATAACTTCGTTACGTCATTTGAAACTTGTGTGCAAAATTTGAGTTCATTCCGAGTTGATTTGATATATTTCGGCGCGAGTTTTGGAAGTTGAAAGTTCAAAAGTTCCATTAAGTTTCATTTGATGTGCGATTCGTCGTTTTAATGTTATTATGGGACTTGTTGGAATGTTCGGACGTGATCCTGAGGGGCTCGGGCGTGTTTCGGATTGATTTCAGACCATTTTTCTTCTTGTTTTCGATGCTGGTGTGTTCTGGTTTCTGGTGCCTCAATTGGTCTTCGCAATCGCATAGAGGAAAACTTGGAGCTGGAAGATTCTTAATCGTGGTTGCGACTGGAGGAATGCAACGATCTGACTTATCGTTTTGTGAATTAGCATTCTGTTTAGCGACTTAAGGTCCCAAGCAACTTCATAATATGTATTATGACCCGCGAGTGTGGTCGAGTTTGATTTTTGGAAGGTTCAGAATTAAATTGAAAGAGCAATTTTTATTTTTGAAGCTTAAATTAAAAGAGTTGACCGGAATTTGACTTTTGAGCAAACAACTCCGGAATAGGATTTTGATGATTTCAATAGCTTCATATGGTAATTTCGGACATAGGAGTATGTTCGGATTTGGATTTATAAGTCCGTAGGACAATTTGACGCATGTTGGCGAAAGTTGGAAAATAGAAGTTTTTTAGAAAGTGTGACTAGGAGTTGACTTTTATTGATATCGAGGTCGAAATACAGCTCCATTATGTCATTTTTGACTTGTGTGCAAAATTTAAAGTCATTCCGGATTGATTTGATATGTTTCGGCACAAGTTATAGAATTTGAAAATTTCATAAACCCATAAGTTTGATTCGAGGTGCGATTCATATTTTCGGTGTTGTTTAATGTGATTTGAGTCCTTGACTAAGTTCGTATCGTATTTTAGGACTTGTTGGTATATTTAGTTAAGGTCCCGAGGGCCTCGGGTGTGTTTCAGGTGTTATCAGATCATTTTGGGCTACATTGGATGTTGGTTTTATGATGTCTGGTGTTGTTCTTCGCGTTCGCGCGGTGCCTCTCGCGTTCGCTAAGAAGGATTTGGCTTCTAGGATTTTGTTTTTCGGAAGCTTATATCTTGCAATCTATAGGAATTTGGCCATGCTCCAAAAATAAAAGTTATATCCCTTTTTGTCTAGTTTTTATAAATATAAACCGTTTGAAATTTGGAGTTGTGTACAAAACGATATGGTAGATATACTATAGGCTGTCTGGGAAGAGATTAGAAATCGCGAAGAAGAAATTTCTGCTGCATAGAGCTAACTTTGGAAGATTATATCTCGCAATATATAAGGAATTGGGAGCTGAGTAACACATGAAAGTTGTAGCCCTTGATGTCTAGTTTTCAAAAAGTAAAACCATTTATCATTTGGAGTTTTGTATAAACGGTTATGATCATTATACTATAGGCTATTTGAGAAGAGTTTGGAAATGGCTGTTGAAGAATTTGTTCATCGCGAACGTGAGGGGAGGGTCGCGAACGCGAAGAACAAACCCCTGGGAAGCAGAATAAAGTCCAAAAAAGAGACTTGGTCTCATTCTTCTATTTTTGGAAGAAGAAATCTCGGGGAGGCTATTTTTAGAGAGTTTTTCAAGGAAAACATTTGGGTAAGAATTCCTAACTCGATTTTGGTTAAAATACATGAATCTATTGTTGTTTTTATCATGAAATTAGTGAATTGGGTTGAAAATGGTAGAAATTTTTTGTACCTTAAATTGAGGATTTGGAGGTTGATTCGTTATCGAAATTTAATAAAATTGGTAAGGTTGAACTCTTATTGGAATGGGTGTTCAGGTTCCGAGAGGCGATCCCCATGTTGACTTTTTAGAATAAAATTTTAAGTCGACATTTTATTATCTGAAATTATTTTTGATGAATTTTAATGAAGTTATACAATTAATTTGGATAGATTTGAGATGTCCGGAGGTCAATTCAAGCAAGAAGGCTATTTTGGAATATCGGCCTAACTTCAAAAAGGTAAGTATCTTGCCTAACCTTGAGTGGGGGAATTACCCCTTAGGTATTGAGTCTTATGTAAAAATTATGTAATTGAAACTATGTACGCGAGGTGACGAGTACGTACTTGGTTTATATATGCAAATTACATTGGTTGAAATTCATAGACGCGCTTATGTATTAAATTGGAAAATTCTTGGAACATAGTAAATCCTTTACTTGTCACGACCCAAAATCTCACCACATGCGTCGTGATGGCACTTAGTCTCTAAGACTATGTAAGCCGATTATAATTACATTTCGAGCTATTTTTTAAAAACATATAATTTAATACAAGTGTCGAAACCAAAAGCGAAAACAAATATAAGAACCTCCCAAGACTGGTAATACTGAGTCACGAACTCTAACTGAGTACATGCAGTGATCCCAAAGATCGAATATACAATACTATTCGAATAAGAGTGGGCAGTACAATAAAAATGGAAAGACTCTAAGGGACTGCGATGATCATGCAGCCCTACCTTGAATCCTTGCGATCACACTCTTATCTCTGTCCGAATTTGATATCTCCAATACTTGACTCTGCACAAAAATGTGCAGAAGTGTAGTATGAGTACACTACAGTCGGTGCCCAGTAAGTATCAAGACTAACCTCGATGGAGTAGTGATGAGGTACAGTCAAGAAACTTACTAATCACTTAACTTGTGCAATATAGTAATATAAAGGGATAATAGAAAATAAGTAGCAGTGACTGCAACAAAGATCAATCAGGGATATGAACGACAAGGCAACAAGAACACCATAAATATTTCTCAAACAAATAAGGAACACAAGTATAACCAATTAATCAAGTCCTTCAAATATAAATCTTTCACATATAAGTTTTTCAAATAAAAATCTTTTGAATATAATTCCTTCAAATAAATATCCTTCGAGTATAACTCTTTTAAATAAAAGTCACTCTGTGACACCTCATTTCATAATCATAAAATACGGGTCTCAACCCACTTTCATATTTTCACGGCACCCCATGCCCATATCTCTATTACAACCGCACGGACAACTCACGTACCAAAATATCAATGTATATAAGATTCACAGGATCAATTTATTATCAATAAAGTAAGTTTATAATTTTTAAACCAAGTAAGAAATCAACAAAGAAATGAGTTTATTTTTTAACTCGTTTGGGTGAAGAAAATGATATTTCAATTAAAATGAAGCATCCGATAGCTACTGATTTGGTTATAAAATTTATTAAATTAAAATATAATAGCAACTTCTTTTATTCGAAACAACTCAAACCTCAAAAACCAGAAATACAAATCCTCAGAGTCTCGTACAAAAAGGCCAAAGCCAACACAATACAACAAGAAATATAAAACACTTAATATTAAGTTAAAAAATACATCACGGAGAACACAAGAATTTACATATTACGAAAAAATAAAATAATCAAAGACAAGTGAAACCATAGAGATATATCAACAAAAGGGCACTCCTGAGGTACCGCCTCGTAGTCCCAACACAAATATCAACAACAACAAGGCCCCCAAGCAACTTCAAGTCATCACAAATCAATCCCCGACATAGCCCACCGTGTCTCGCCACGTGCGCAATAATAAAGTAAATGCCCGCCTTGTCTCGCCGCACATGCATAATAATATTCCTACCTTGTCTCGCCACGTGCGCAATAATAAAGTAAATGCCCGCCTTGTCTCGCCGCACATGCATAATAATATTCCTACCTTGTCTCGCCACGTGCGCAATAATAAAGTAAATGCCCGCCTTGTCTCGCCGCACATGCATAATAATATTTCCACCTTGTCTCGCTACATGAGCAAGTCCACATATATATAGCCCGCCTTGTCACGCCGCA